TAATAATAATAATAATAATAATAATAATAATATATTTAATTATTCTTTATTTATATGTACTTACTTTTATAATTAACATCTACTTATTTCTATTTAAAATTATAATTTAAATTATTTAATTTTATAATTTATAATGATAATATAATTTATAAAATTATAAATATTTATTTATTACATACTTATAAATTAAATTTTAACATTTTAAATAAATTATTAATTAATTTAATATATTTATTTACCTTAAATCAAACATATAAAATTCAAAAAATATATTTATCCTTGTTTTATTTTCTGATTATCAACCATTAATAAAATACTAACTTAAAATCTTATCTAATTATATCATAATATTCTCATATCAAATTTAAAACCAGATATTAGTTATACAAAAATATTAAGATCATATAGTAAATTAATTGTCAATAAGATTTTAGTTGAATAATTTAAAATAATTATTGTTTCAATCATATTGTTAATTAGAAAATAATTTATTCCAAAACTAATTAATTTTTTATATATTAATTATTGGTAAAATTTAATATCTTTTAATTTAACAATTAATTGGATCGATGAAATTCAGCACACACTATGAGTTAAGATTTATAAAGATTGTTTCGTACTTGTAAAATGAGTAAAATATTTTTCTTTGATTTTCATCCCTCTAAAATATAAATTCACTAGTTTGATTATTTTAAGGTAGATAAATAATATTTATTTTAAAAAAACTAAAAAAAATTAGAGGTGTTAAATATCAATACGATAATAGTACGTAATTGTTGTAGGTGAAACCTAAGATAATTATTTATCTTTTTTTTTAAAATAAAAAAGTAGTTAAAAATGATTACATAAAAAATAAGAATTAAAAATAAAAATTCCAATTTTAGAAAATGAAAATAATTAAAAATAAGAAATTAAAATAAGAAATTAAAAATAAGAATTAAAAATAAATAAATTTCTGACGGATTTATATTTCCGTCAGAAATTTTCGACAAAAATATAAATCCGTCGGAAATTTCTGACGGAATATTTTATCGAAAATTTTTCGTCGAAAATTTCTGACGGATTTATTTTTCCGTTGGAAATTTTTCGACGGATCCATATCCGTCGAAAAATTTTCGTCAAAAATTTGCGTTTTTCTTGTAGATATGTATCATAGTTAAGACGTGTATCTAACTCACATGGTTATAGCTTGACAACTTAACAACTTTCACATCAGGCAACTTACTCAACTTTATCAACTTACAACTTAAAATTTATCAACTTGAACAATTTATACATCATACATATTTTAAATGTGAGCAACTTTCATCAATCAACAACTATATAACAATTAAAAAAAAGTTGTCAACATGCAACTCATGCCCAATGCCACTCATAGGATGCCCAACGCCACCGAGGCAAGGGACTCCTTGTCTCGCTCACGCCCAATGTCAAACTACCTATGCTCGATGTGGTTAAGATAGAGAGTCTCTCACTCACTAACGTCTAGTGTGGCAAAATCCACTCTTGATTCCAATCAAGTATATGGTCGTTGCCGAACTCACACCCGACACGACTCAATTAGCGCCCAATGTGAATTCTGGCATAGATAAGTCTCTTTTCTCATGCCCGAAGTCATTCAAATCATGTTTGACATGATTCCAACTTGAGACAATTTTCTCTCCTCATGTCTAATGGAACCAATTATGTGTCTAACGTGAACAAGGCAAAGATCCCTCTTTGGAGTCACGCTCAACACCTTGAAGGTATATCCAACGCAATAAAATTTTTTACACATATACAAAAACTGATTTCTACCTAAATCACCTAAAAGTCAGTCCAAAAACTCACATGTAATACATCACACAACATATATGCAACAAGAGAAACCCAAATCTATCAACAAAGTCAACATGCATCTATAAAATTTGAGAATCACCAAGTTTTGACCCAAACCACTTCCAAGGAGCCAAGTCCTCAGCACTCATCATCCCATCACGAATATACTCAACTATCGACATTAAAGTAACATCAACAACTAGAAGTCAACCTTCAATCTGAAACTAAACAACTACAAAACTTCCTTTACCTCTTGGGGCATCGAACAACAAGAGAATAAAAGTTGAACGCTCACATACGACTTTGAAACCCTAAACCCCAACTTCACAAGGTTTGATCCAATAATTCAATAACTTCTATCAACTACAAAGAGGAATGAAAAGGTTTCTCTGCCAAAGAAAAAAGGGAGAAGGTTCACTTAGTTCAAAGAACTTCTCACTAGTTTATCTCTCTAAAACTTTCAAAACTTGAGTTATGAGACCCAAAACATAAAATAAAAAAAATAAAAAAACCTTTTATATCTCTCCTATACTGACTCCACTTATCTATGGTCCAGCTGCCCAAAGATCAACTTACACTCAAGGGCCCTTGACCCTAGAGTTCTCAACAATGCCTAACAATTAAACAACAAGAATTCTTATGATTAATAAAATAGTCATAAAATCTACATTGTTACAAACATTGTATTCTAAAAATAGGTTTGAACTTTGCAATCTTGAAAATCTTTGACTTAAGATCATTGAAAATTGCTTGATACGTATGATGATTTAAAAGAAATAAAACTCACAAAAAAGGAGAAATGGTAGTAGAGAATAAAAAAAATACTCATTTAAATATTAAAATAAGTAGCTTTTAAGTGAATGCCTAAAAGATAAAAATCTTATAACAATATGAACCAAAAAGTAAAAATAATGAAAGTGTGAGGCTTAAAAGGTCTGAATCATAAAACACAACACATGTTGGAGTCACATTAGTAATATGTAAGTGCCACATCATTTGCCGTTAACGATGTTAATTTTCTTTTAACATCATGGACAAAAAGTAATTGAAAGTATTTGTACAGTGACTCAAAATAATTTTAAGTATAGGGATTAAAAAGTAAATTGGATTAAATGGATAACTAAATCTGTTTGTTTTAGTTGTAAATGATATTTAATATTTATAAGGGGGGAATTGTGCAAAATAAAAACCTAAACAATGAACTGAAAAAAATATTGATTTAAGAAAAACATAATATTAAATCACTTGATAAAATTTAGATATATTTAGTAAATAATATTATTTTTTATAAATGATATTCTCTTTAACAAATAAACCTCCTTCAAGTGATTCCTTCGAGCACTTGATTTTTTTCAATTTTATTTATTAATGGTTTCGTTTTTTGGTTTTCAGTTTTAATTAGTTAGTTTTGAGTTCGGCCGAAAATTTCTATACAAGAAAAAAAATATTTATTTTATAAAATTAATTTAAATAGAAAATTTTAAAAATGTAAGTTATATTAATAATTTACTCTAAATTTCATTTGAATATTAATTTTTTTATTAGTATAAGAGAATTTAAATTTATAAAATAAATTAACAATAATAACAAATATATTTTGATATTTTTAAGAACATTGAAATCTTAAAAAAAATACATTGTAAAAATTTTAAATATTAATTTTAATATCATATTTTTTTTAATAAAAAATAACTTGAAAGACCCATAGGTTGACAAGTTAGATTGGATGAATTGGAACACTTAGCCTGACCAGTACTTAACCTATTTTATTGTTCTTTACTTAATATTACTCGCTTTACTAAAAAATAATTATGGTTTTAGAATATTTTATTACGACTAAGCAAGTTGTAAATTTTAGAGAAAATATTCAATAAGTAATTAAATTAGCATTTACTTTTAAGAGCACATTAATTATTTATATTTCAACTATTTTAAAACAAAATAATAATTGAGCATTAGTTTGAAAAAAATGGCTAAGTCGAAAAAAATAATGAATATTTAGCATTGGAATTAAAATGATAGATCTTTTAGAAAAAGAAATTGCTTGTAAACTATTATTATCATTCAAATAGTTAACACACCGTTTTTTATATGACCGTTTGTTGGTTTTTTAAGTAACTTGAGAGTATATGGCAAAGCAAGGTTTCTCTCCTTGTAAAATCTGGATATGTAATAAACTTCAATAAAATTAAATAATGAAATTATAAGTTGAC